CCCCCACCCCCACCCCCATCTCCCACAGGCCCCTTCCACCAGGTCATGCTGCAGCCCTTTAATCGCTGAGCACCTTCAGCCCCAAAGGCTACAGCTCTGCTTCCCCCCTCCTCCCCCCCTACCCTGCCCCCCACCCCCTCTGATTATCACAACCCCCTCCCATCCTCACCCCCACACTCCTCTCCGCCATCACGCACCACTCCAAGGCCATTTTCCAGCCTGAAACGCGACTGCGTTCTCCATCGATCGGTGTGGAGAGGGGGATGGCGATGAGGGTCTTTTTATTGGGGAGGGGGAGCTGGCGGATCTGGGATCACGCTAGGATGGCAGGTGGCGTGATCCCAGGTGGAGGTGGGTGAAGGTCATGGGGAGGAAAAGAGTGAGTGAGGGGGAAAAAAAAATATCAGTGGCCCATCTCCACCAACTCCCCCCAACCATCTCCGTGACCAACCACCCCACTCCCCTACTCCTTTTCCACTCAACCTGACCCCGGAGCATTGGGGGCGGACATGGGGAGGGGTGGTGGGGAGGAAGAAGAGGAGGGTGAGGGGAGTGAGGTGGGGGGGAGGCGGGGGGGGGGGGGGGGGGGAGGGAAGAGGAATCCGCCCTGGTCTTCCTCTTCAGCCAAGCGGTTCAAACGCAGTCGACCACCCCACTCACAGCAAACTCCACTGGTTGGTGGGTGGGTGGGTAGGGGGGAGGGGAAAGGGGGTGGGCTCCAGGCCTGGGCAAATTGGAGAAGGGTGGGCTGGTGCACAAACTCAGCCCAAGACCCTTGTTAAGAAATCCTAGCCCCTGATGGCTCAGTCGCTGTGTGTTGACCAAAACCCATGCACCAGCCTGTCAGGACATTAAGAGGGGACCTCCAGAATTCACCCTCACTTCACCCAACTGCCCATCCCCCCCCCCTCCCCATGACCCCCCCCTCCCACCCCCCCCCCCCCCCCCCCCCCCCCCCAACCCCCCGTCGCTCCCAGTGATGGCCAGTACCGGCGCACTCCATGGGCCCCCTTGCGAGGTCAAATCGGGAATTAACCATGCGTGGACATTATCCACTATTAATGGAATATTAACGTCAAAACAAAGAAGCACAAAGGAGTCTAATTCTGTACCGTCTTGAAGCTTCGCACTAGCTACGAGTCTTAAATAAAACGAGAGAACCTGTCTTTGTGATGTAACACGAATTTAAACACACTTTTCTCACTATTAAACATTAAAGATCTGTAATGGGTGCTGACTGCGTGTGCATGTGTGTACTTTGGTCGGGGGGGAGGGGTTAGAGAGACATATGTCAGTACTGTAGGCAAAGACACGAATCCAGGAGGGGCAGGAGTACCAATTGACCGAATACTGAGTTAGACCCACACTTGGAGCACTGTGCACAGTTCTGGTCCCTGTAACCCTCAGTTAGACCCACACTCGGAGCACCGTGCACAGTTCTGGTCCCTGTATCCCTCAGTTATACCCACACTCGGAGCACCGTGCACAGTTCTGGTCCCCATATCCCTCAGTTAGACCCACATTCGGAGCACCGTGCACAGTTCTAGTTTCCATATCTCTCAGTAACACTGCAGAAGGTGCTGTAATGATTTCCAGGATCAGGCACTGAGAGTCAGTGACGGGCTAGCACTGACCAGATGATGCTCTTCTCAAACAGATCGGTATAGAGAAGATGTTTCCAAGTCTAGGCGACAAATAAATCTATTGGGGAGTTCGGGAGAAGCCTGTTTACCAACAGTGCATTGCACATGTGGCACACTGCTCCCACGTGAAGCAGTCTGAATAATTGAATGGTCTCAGCGAGCTATGTTTCCAAATCATCTGTGCACTTCTCTGTAATATATTCGCAGCGAAGGACATTGAAACTATTCCAGTACAGAGATCTGTTAGAACAAAACAGCACTTTGCAAATTTGCTCTTGCACGATAAGTACAGGATGTGCAGATACAGTGCCGGTGTGAGAGTGCTTCAAATGCAGCTCCACTCGTTGCTTTTCACAAATTGGCGTCTTACAACTGCTGCCCATGCAGCCCCATTAGTTCAAACAATACATGACCAACTCGCCAGAGAGAAGCAAATTTGAACAGTTTGTTCCTTGTTTCCCCACCCTCAACAACCAATTAGACTTCAACCTGAGATAGTAGGAACTGCAGATGCTGGAGAATCCGAGACAACAAGGTGCAGGGCTGGATGAACACAGCAGGCCAAGCAGCATCATAGGAGCAGAAAGGCTGACGTTTCGGGCCTAGACCCTTCATCAGAAAAGGGGGAGGGGAAGGGGGTTCTGAAATAAATAGGGAGAGAGTAGGGGGCGGATAGAAGATGGATAGAGGAGAGGAAACCAACAGGTCGAAGAGGCGGGGATGGAGCCAGTAAAGGTGAGTGTAGGTGGGGAGTTAGGGAGGGGATAGGTCAGTCCAGGGAGGACGGACAGGTCAAGGGGGCGGGATGAGGTTAGTCGGTACGAGATGGGGGTGCAACTTGAGGTGGGAGGAGGAGATACGTGGGAGGAAGGACAGGTTAGGGAGGCGGGGACGAGCTGGACTGGTTTTGGGATACGGTGGGGGGAGGGGAGATTTTGAAGCTTGTGTAATCCACATTGATACCATTGGGCTGCAGGGTTCCCAAGCGGAGTATGAGTTGCTGTTCCTGCAACCTTCGGGTGGCATCGTTGTGGCACTGCAGGAGGCCCAGGATGGACATGTCGTCTGAGGAATGGGAGGGGGAGTTGAAATGGTTCGCGACTGGGAGGTGCAGTTGTTTGTTGCGAACCGAGCGTAGGTGTTCTGCAAAGCGGTCCCCGAGTCTCCGCTTGGTTTCCCCGATGTAGAGGAAGCCACACCGGGTACAGCGGATGCAGTATACCACATTGGCAGATGTGCAGGTGAACATCTGCTTGATGTGGAAAGTCTTCTTGGGGCCTGGGATGGGGGTGAGGGAGGAGGTATGGGGGCAGGTGTAGCACTTCCTGCGGTTGCAGGGAAAAGTGCCGGGTGTGGTGGAGCTGGAGGGGAGTGTGGAGCGGACAAGGGAGTCACGGAGAGAGTTGTCCCTCCGGAAAGCAGATAAAGGTGGGGAGGGAAAGATGTCTTTGGTGGTGGGGTCGGATTGCAGATGGCGGAAGTGTCGGAGGATGATGCGTTGGATCCGGAGGTTGGTGGGGTGGTACGTGAGGACGAGGGGGATTCTTTTTTGGTTTTTATTGCGTGGACGGGGTGTGAGGGATGAGGTGCGGGAGATGTGGGAGACACGGTTGAGGGCGTTCTCGACCACCGAGGAGGGGAAGTTACGGTCCTTGAAAAACGAGGACAACTGAGATGTACGGGAGTGGAATGCCTCATCCTGGGAGCAGATGCGGCGGAGGCGAAGGAATTGGGAATAGGGGATAGCATTTTTGCAGGAAGGTGGGTGGGAGGAGGAGTATTCTAGGTAGCTGTGGGAGTCGGTGGGCTTGAAATGAATATCGGTTTCTAGGTGGTTGCCCGATATGGAGACAGAGAGGTCCAGGAAGGGGAGAGAGGTGTTAGAGATGGTCCAGGTAAATTTAAGGTTGGGGTGGAAGGTGTTAGTGAAGTGTATGAACTGTTCGAGCTCCTCGTGGGAGCACGAGGCGGCACCGATACAGTCATCAATGTAACGGAGGAAGAGGTGGGGTTTAGGGCCGGTGTAGGTACGGAAGAGGGATTGTTCCACGTAACCTACAAAGAGGCAGGCGTAGCTTGGGCCCATGCGGGTACCCATGGCTACCCCCTTTGTCTGTAGGAAGTGGGAGGAATTGAAAGAGAAGTTGTTGAGTGTGAGGACGAGTTCGGCTAAGCGGATGAGGGTGTCAGTGGAGGGGGACTGGTCGGGCCTGCGGGACAGGAAGAAGCGGAGGGCCTTAAGGCCATCTGCATGGGGAATGCAGGTGTAGAGGGACTGGACGTCCATGGTAAAGATGAGGTGTTGGGGACCGGGGAATTGGAAGTTCTGGAGGAGGTGGAGGGCGTGGGTGGTGTCACGGACATAGGTAGGGAGTTCCTGGACCAAGGGGGAGAAAATGGAGTCGAGATAGTTGGAGATCAGTTCGGTGGGGCAGGAGCAGGCGGAGACAATGGGTCGACCAGGGCATTCAGGTTTGTGGATTTTGGGAAGGAGATAGAAGCGGGCAGTGCGAGGTTGGGGAACGATGAGGTTGGAGGCTGTGGGTGGGAGGTCACCTGAGGTGATGAGGTTGTGGATGGTTTGGGTGATGATGGAGTGAGAGTCGGTGGGCTTGAAATGAATATCGGTTTCTAGGTGGTTGCCCGA